GAATACAGGTTTAATATGACCCTTATCAAAATTTTAGTAAGTCATACATACAGATAGGATATTTTTAATGCAGGTGAAAATACAAAAGTACTAGAATAGCTAAAAAATTAAAGAAGAAGAAAATAGGGTGACTCAGTCTACCCAATTTCAGGATCTATTACAGCTATAGTAACCCATACTGATATTAGTGGGGGGGGGTGTGGACACATTCATCAATGGGGCAGAACAAAGGGACTCAGGAACAGACTCAAACAAATGCCCACCTAATTTTTGACAAAGGTACTAATCAGTTCAGTGGAGTGAGGACAAACTTTTCCACAAATGGTGCTGAAGCTACTGGACACCCATAACAGAAAATCAACCTTCATCTAAATTCTGCAGTAAATCAAATCACAGGCAACAGGAAAGCAACTAACCCACCTACTACATATAAGGAACTGAACTCTGAAAATGAAGAAGACAGAGCAACAAAACTTCCCAGTTAAAAAAAATGAACACGCAAGAAGGTATGCAGGTCATAAATAAACAAATGATAAGTTCAACACCTTTAGCCATTAGGAAGCGCACATCAAAGCCACGATGAGCTAGATTCATGCGTCCCTTAGACCAGCAGAAACAACAAATAGTGATCCAGCAAATGCGGGTAGGGTGTGGAGACACACATATTCTCAGCAATACGAAGATGAAACACTTCCCAGAGATCTGTGCTAAGTGAAAAAAGCCAGCCCAGACATGCATGCTGTATGATTCCACCTATGTCAAATTCCGGAAATGTCAAGTTTCTAGAAGTAAACAAATTGAGGACCAAGGGGTCAGGAAGAAAGTGGATATGACTCTAAAATGGCAAAAGGAGGGATCCAGTGTATGCTGTAGTTTGATCGAGACTAGAGAGTACCCTCCCTGGTCCTGATACTCTACCACAGTTTCACTCATTTTGTAATATGTTGTAATTGGGGGAAACTGGCTAAGGACAATATAACTCCTCCTATCTCTCTGTGTATATTATATTTTCATTTGAATCTATAAGTATCTTATAGTTTTAGATAATTTAAAATCAAAGGATAATTAAAGAGGGAAAGGATCCAAGAAAATTACAGGGTGTGATGAGGACTGAGGCTTATTAGAGATGGTGAATGTGGGCTGAGGAGGTGACACTGGAGGTGAGAAGTCAACAGCTAGACTGGAAGCCAGGGAAAACCTTGGGCAGTAGAGAGTCCCAGGCTCCTGGGTAGAGTCTGGAATGTGCAATGCCGAGCTAGCTCCAGGATAGCACTTCCTTTGAATGAAGGTCCTGCATGAACAGTAGATGAGGTGTGGACATGATCTACAAGTCAACCTGCCTTTGTGTCTGCCCAGCAGTTTCTGTTTGTCTCAGCACCATCCCTGCAATCTCTGTTCCATCCCTGTACTCTCTATTCCATCCCTACACCTAGGCTCCATCCATGTAGCCTAGGCTGCCCATTCCTACATCCTAGGCTCCATCTCTATATCCTAGGCTCCATCTCTACAATCTAGGCTCCATATCCCTACAACCTAGGCTCTATCCCTACATCCTAGGCTCTATCCCTACATCCTAGGCTCCATCTCTACATCCTAGGCTCCATCTCTACAGCCCAGGCTCCATCCCTACATCCTGGGTTCCATTTCTACATCCTAGGCTCCATTTCTACATCCTAGGCTCCATCTCTACATCCTAGGCTCCATCTCTACATCCTAGACTCCCCATCTCTACAACCTTGGCTCCATCCTTACACCCTAGGCTCTATTCCTACACCCTATACTCTATCTCTGCAGCCTAAGCATATACAGCCTAGGCTCCGTTCCTGCAGCCTAGGCTCCATCCCTACATCTTTGGATCATTGCTATCTAAGTTAGGTTTCAATTGTTATGATAAAACACTATGACCGAGAGCAAATTGAGAGGAAAGGGTTTAGTTCATCTTACTCTTACAGGTAAGGGCTGGCTCATCGCTAGAGAAGTCAGGACAGGAACTGAAGCAGAGCTGGAACTGGAGCAGGCACTAGAGACAAAGCAGTGGTGGCTGCTGTTCACTCCTCACTCCTCATGGGTGCTCAGCCTTCCTTCTTGTGCCATCCGTGACTACCTGTCCAGGGGGTAAGAAAATGCACCCACAGGCTTGCCTATGCGACAGTCCTACTGAGGCATTTTCTCAATTGTAGTTCCCTCTTCTCAGGTAAATCTAAGTTCTATCAGTCAAGTTGACAATAAACTAGCCAGGACAATTCCCGTGACCTAGGCACCACCCTTCAGCCTAGGGGTCATTCCTACAGACCAGGCTTTTTGCTTTGCTCAGATCTCTGCCTGCAGACTTTCTGCTTTATCATCTGGCTGGGATCACCCAGGGTGAGAATAAAGGCTTAGTTAAAGTTATATTTCTGGCTATAAACACTAAAAATTTACCTCAAAACTAACTTACATGAAAGAAGGTGTTTACACAGATAAGTAAATAAGGGTTTCTGTTGCCAGTGGCAGAAAGCTAATATGAACTGGCTGATGGGGGAAAATCCAAACAAAAAGATCTGGGTTCCCCTAAGAGATAAGTTCAAGGACAAGCGCATCACCTGCTTAATGCCTCTGCTTTCTCTTGGGCCAGCTTAAGTCTCAGGTTGGGTGGTGGCAAGATGGTCCCCAGCAGTTCCTGGCAGACAGCTCACCAGCTCAGCAGCCAGGAGAGATGTGGAGGCTCTTCTCCATAGCTCCAGCCAAAGTTCTGAGATGTCTCCTGATCCAGACCTAGGCGGTTTGCCATCCAGCTCAGGACTGAGGCAACAGGAAGCAACACGTTGATTGGCCAGGCCTAGTCAGGTGCTCATCCCTAGAGGTTGAAGATCCAACTAACCTGTGTGGCCTGAGGGGATGGAAGTACTGTTATCAGAAGCTGGAGCAGGCCAAACTAACACACTCCAAAATTCTCCAGACAAGCATGCTTCTTCATCCTCCCACCTCAGGTTGTGAGTTTCCATCGTGAGACATCCCAGACTAAGCTGACATTTCAGCTCCATTGCTTAGGAAAGGGTTCTTGATTGCATCAGCTTTGGTGACCGCCCTAATCCAGTCATCTACAGTCTCTCTGTTCTCTGTCTCTGTTCTTCCCTCCCTCCCTCCCTCCCTCCCTCCCTCCCTCCCTCCCTCCCTCCCTCCCTCCCTCCCTCTCTTTCACTTTCCCTCCCTTTCTTTTTCTTTCTCTGTCTCTGTCTCCATTTGCCTATCTCTCTCTCTCTCTCTCTCTCTCTCTCTCTCTCTCTCTCTCTCTCTCTCTCTCTCTCTCTCTCTGTGTGTGTGTGTGTGTAAAACACATTGAACACTTTAATGGGCATGGAAGTCCCTGGAGAGGCTAACACCTTAAAAATGTCTATTATAGACACTCCAGGCTTCTAGAAGACCTAAATTAGCTCCAAAAGATGTGAGGAATCTATTAATGGGTTAGGCGTGAAGGGAAATAAGCGATTATTGAAGATCCATTTGAGAAAGGCCAAATCTACAGACTTTTCCTTTACTTTCCTTCTGGGGTTTGCTGATTTCTGTTGTCAAGAGGGAGGTGGGGCTGCCCTGATAACAGGGGACTAGTGACAGTTTTCAGAGAGCTACAGGTAGGCTGCAGGCAGGTGAGAGCCTGGAGCTCTCAGGTAGTACAATGGTGTTGGGAGAGCAGAAGAGATCAGCAGCCCGGATGGAAAGCAGGCTGGTGGGGCTGGAGCCAGGTGGCCTCCCAGTCCTGGCACTAAATGTGAGTGCACAGTCCAAGTCAGAGGAGCCAGGCAGGAGGCCATTTCTAGAAATAAAGGCTGCAGTCAGGGTAGGTTCTCTGGCTTTGGGATGCATTTAGTGCACTCAGCGGTAGAGCAGCCAAGCAGTCCAGCTACAGAAGGAAAGATATGGAGTAGATGGCCAAGTAGGACATTAGAACTTCATCTTCCAGAGGGAGAGTTTGTAGACTGAGACCTAAAGAAGCAGGCATAAGAATGCCTGTCCAGGCTGGAGAAACCCACAGAAACAGCTGACCTGAACAAGGGGGAGCTCATGGTACCCAGACTAGTAGCTGGGAAACCAGCTTAGGACCGATCCAGACCCCCTGAACATGGGCAATCTATGGGGCCTCTGATAGTGGATCAGTATTTATCTCTAGTATGTGAATGGACTTTGGGAGCCCATTCCACATAGAGAGATACTCCCTCAGCCTAGACACACAGGGGAGGGCCTAGGCCCTGCTCCAAATGATATGACAGTCTTTGAAGATCCCCCATGGAAGGCCTCACCCTCCCTGGAGAGCAGAAAGGGGATAGGGGGTTGGTGGGGAGCAGGGGAGGAGGGGAAGGAGAGGGAACTGGGATTGATATGTAAAGCAAGCTTGTTTTTTATTTAAATTAAAAAAAAGAAAGAAGGAAAAAAGAATGCCTGTCCAGGTGATGACAGCAATGACGGCGAGCCTTTTCTGAGTGCCTTCACGGCGTGTCAGGCACTGGTCTGGTGTTAATTTCTGCAACCATGCTGTCCACAGACTAGATGTGAGGAGTGCATGGCACAAAGGCCAAGTATATTTTCCAGGGGCATATGAGAGCAAAGGCAACTTAACCCTCAAGTGAGATGCCCCGCCTCCTTCTCCAGCATCAGCTTCAGCATCTTCCCCACTCCAGCATCCCCGCCTCCCACATGCGTTCAAGCATCCTGCTGCCTCGTGCCTCCACAGCTTTGCCTGTACTGTCCTTCTTCCTAGAATGTGCTTCTCTAGCCAGGACCTCTTCATCTTACCAGGACCACTATGGTCATCCCTGTATCCTAAATAACTGTCCCTGGTTCTCCTTGCCCTCACAGTAATGGCTTAGTAATGTGTTTTTGTCACAGTGTCATTCTCCCAGATTAAAGTGGAGTGGGAAACAAGTGTTAGGGCCTATAATGCTAGGTGGATAAATGGTACGTGGATGAGGCTCCTTGTCCCTGCCCACACTCACTCTGGCATCTCTCTCCTGGTCTCTTGGCAGCTTGGCTTGGGGTTCGTTTACCTGCTGCATGGCGGCGTCTGTCACTACGCTCAACTCCTACACCAAGACAGTCATTGAGTTCCGGCACAAGCGCAAGGTTTTTGAGCAGGGCTACCGGGAGGAGCCGACCTTCATAGACCCCGAGGCCATCAAGTACTTCCGGGAGAGGTCAGTGCATATGTGGTCACCTCTGGCATAGTGCTAAGAGTCTGAAGCCCAAGGCCTGACCTCAGTAACCCAAAGGCCCCATTCAAGACTGGAGCAAATGGTCTGACTGATGTGATCTTGAAGCTGGGACGGGCTGGGTAAGACAGAGTATGGACTTTGGATGTCTAGGACATCTAATGTTTTGTGGGCATAAGATTGCTTAGGAGTGGGTTGGAGATATGGCTCAGATGTTAAGAGGTTAAACTGCTCTTCCAGAGTCCTGAGTTCAGTTCCCAGCAACCACATGGTAATGATATCTGGTGCCCTCTTCTGGTGTGCAGGGACACATGTAGGTAGAACACTGTATTTACATAATAAGTAAATACATCTTTAAAAAATTGGTTAGGACTTATATGACTAGATTATGGGGAATTCAAAAAGGAACAACGTGCGGGCGGTAGCCATTTAGCTCTGGGCTACTTCAGCTATGACCAGAAGAAGGCTGATCCATGATGGTTTCCTTCTTTGGGCCCTGTAATGGTGCTGTGTGAAAGGATCCAATAGCAGGGTTGGTGATGGTCACCAGAAGTCGGTGACTTCTCAAAGGACAAAACCTGATCACTGAAGTCTTCAGAAGTGATCTGGGAACAGCATAGATGGCAACAAATAGGAGATGGGTGGCTACATAGATAGGGGTGGATGGATGTTTGGATGATAGCTAAATGACTGGATGGATAGATGGGCAGTTGAATGGTTAGAACTTGAATAAGTAGGTAAATGAGTAGATGGATGAATGAGTATATGGATGGATAGGAGAGTGGGTGGGTAGATAAGGGAGCTGATGGAGGAGTAGACAGATGAATAGATAGGTAAGCATTGGATAGATATACAGGTGAGCGGGAGGATGGATAGATAGATGGATAGGTAAGTTGTTGGATGAATAGATGGATAACTGAGTGGTTGGATTATTAGGTGATTGGGTAGGTGGATGGATAAGTAGATGAGTTAGATGGCGAGACTGATGGCAGGAGTAATACATAGCAGCATAGGCAGACATGGGTGGGGGATAGACGCCAGGATTTTTAAAGCTGGAGACAGTATTAGGCTGGACTCCTCAGCTGTTCTTCTGAAGGCCTTCAGATCATCGTCTGGGGAACCCCAGTATTTGAGGTGCCCCCGATCTCCTCAGTTCAGTGGTTCTGAGTCCACTTTGTTCTTCCCTCTTATTTCCTAGAGGAAATAACTCCATCCAAAGTTACTCCTGTGGGCTGGCTATAATCTGGTGCCGCTGTGCCTGGCTCCAACTGCTGGACTCTCTTCCGGGCCATGAAAGGCTCTGCCCTCCATTACATGCTAGGAAGCGGGTCCCACCCAGCATGGCTGGTGCTGCCTTCCTCTGTCCCCCTCCTAGGCTGGCAGTGGCTGGTGACAGCAGAGGCGAGGACAGAGGTGCTCTGTCTCCCATCCTGGCCACACGCAGCACATCCTGCCTGAGCTTCTGTGCTGTGGGAGTCTAAGAAGAGCAGATCTGGGCCTGGGGTCTCCACTCCCAGTGCTTCCCCTTGGGTGCCCCTGTTTTCCCCAGTGCTGGGAGTGGAACCCAAGGTCTCACAAATGTTAGCACTACTCTCCCATTGGGCGTCACCACAGCCCACACCACCTTCCCGAGTGGAGTAGACAGAGCCAGCCACATACGGCTGTCTCACATAGCTGTGCCAGGTCCTGTGTCTAGGCACCCAGCAGCATGCTCATGACCTCCCAGTGAATACTATTGCTTCCCTCGGTAGATGAGACTCAGAGATGTGAAGATACTAATTTAAAACCACACAGTCGTGGAGGACATGGGCCCAGGTCTGTGCGGCTCAAAGTTTGAACCTTTTCAGGCTGACCATGGGAAGAAGCAGGCTTGCCATCTGCTTGTGTCCACACAGGTGTTCTCAACCCATGGGCGAGTCTGCCCAGTGCTCACAGATGTTGTGTGTGTCTGGGGTGGGAGTGGGGCTCTTACTGCAGGTATGTGGGACTCTGAGTAAGGGCACTTTGTGACTCAGGAGTCAGCCTTCTCAAGTGCATAATGCCGGCTAGAATGTCCAGGAGGCTGTCGTGATGGATAAAGGCCTGGGCTCCCTACCCATAGAAGAAACTGTACCTAGCTTGCTCTCTGTGGAACCTGGGCCCTGAGTGGGAGCCTGCCCTTGAGCACACCTTCCCGATCCTCCCTCCCTCCTTGTCCCCTTTCTCCTCTCCTGTGTTTCTTACAACTACCTTCCAGGTGAGTCCTGTGCCCCGTTCTTGGGTACAGGGTAGGAGTGGGTGGGGTGGGGGGAGACTGAGGTAAAAGCAGTACTTTCAGTGGGTGGGGCTGAGTGACCCTGGGGACATGCCCTCGGGGTATGTGGAGGACTTGGGGGAAGAAGCCTGGGCACTGAGGCACTTTCAGGCAGAGGCAGAGCATGAGGTGGAGAACGGGTCCCTCTCTGATCATTCTAGACTTTTCTCTGACTCATCTTTTCTCCCACAGACTCTCCAAGAGCTTTGTGCCTGCAGTGCTCAGTCTAGGGTGCCCATCAGCTCATCCTTCTTTCTAGTCACTTCTCTGCAGGACTTCTCACCAGTGCTGGGGCTGGGACTGTACCAGAAACCTAGTAGGAACTCGTGAGGTGCTCTGCTGGTGATCTGGTGATCCTTGAGAAGCCTGGACACTGCCTCCCTCTTGTGTGGCATTTAGCTCCCGCCTCCTTGACTGCAGACACAGTGTCCTGGCAGGGAGGAGGCCATTCCCTCCCAGCATGGTCAGGAGCTTGTCCTAGCCCAGGCATCAGCAGCCAGGACTGGGGTGGGGGAGGAGGGCAGCGCTGAGTGCTTAGAGCAGTGGTGAATGACCCAAAGCCCTCAGTGCCCCATTAACACTGCAACTGCTTGTCACGCTTTGCTACGACACACCTAGGGAAATTGCGCCCTGCACTGCTGAGGGAGCAGCTCAGACCACCTCACCCAGGCAGCAGCTTCTCATCAAGCCACAGTTCCTGTAGCCCCGGACTGCTCAGGCCCACGATGAGTGTTTCACAGCGTATGTGCAGAATATCACTTTGCACATTCATAACTTAACATTATGCAGAGGTTCATCAAATTTGATTTCCCTTCCCTCGGAGGAGAATGTTTCAGCTCTGCTGCTCTGTTCTATTTTCTTCCCCCCCTTTTTTTTCCTGCTCTTTGCCTATAAGCAGCTCAGAGCACATGGCTTTGTTGCGTGGCTTTTGCAGGCCAGGGAAGCTGAGAGTAGGACTGAAGCCCCCAGCAGCAAGACACACAGGAGGACTGAGGGGAAGCAGAGGGTGTCATGGGCTGATCCGTCCCTTCACTTCTGTGTGACTTAGCTCTGGGCACCAAACAGCGCTGGGCTTGTGTCTTGGGCACACGGGGAGAGAATCCAGAACCCTTGGCATCTGGAAATGCTGATGTTTTGCTCCCCTGTAGTATATGGGGTCTAGTGCCCAGCATGCAAAGGCCTGCTCTCTCTCTCTGTCTCTCTCTGTCTCTCTGCTCTCTCTGTCTCTCTGTCTCTGTCTTTCTCTCTGTCTCTCTCTCTGTCTTTCTCTTCTCTGTCTCTCTCTGTCTCTGTCTCTCTGTCTCTGTCTCTCTCTCTGTCTCTGTCTCTCTGTCTCTGTCTCTGTCTCTGTCTCTCTCTCTCTCTCTCTCTCTGTGTGTGTGTGCATGTCCCTGTCCCTTCTCCTAATGACCTTGTTGGGCCTCTGAGTGAACAGCAATCCCTCCCTCCCCCCCCCCCAGTGACGAAGGCAGGAAAGTGCTTCAGATGGATCACTAATGATTTGGTTACAGTTCAACCCAACCCATATACCCTAAACACCCCAAAAGTGACTCCATTGATTACCACCCCATCCCTAGGAGGTGTGGGTAAAAATGTTGCTCCCATTCTACAGATGCCAAGTTGAAGCACAGAGATGTTCAGTGATTTTTCCAAGGCCACACAGCTGGCTAGTGCCATCCCAGGTCACATAGTCACCATGACATTTAATCTTGGGACTGATGATGAATGTGTAGCAGGTAAAGAGCAGGGGGTGATGAGGGGGTCTCCAGGTGGAGGAGCCACGGTATGAGGGGCAGGCAAGGGCAGGCAGGGGCAGGCAGGGGCAGGCAGGGGCAGGTAGGTTGGGAAGTATGAGCATCTGGTATGTGGTGGTCACAGCAGGGCGCTGGTTCTGGCTACTCCTGTTGCCATCATTAGGAGAGTAGTCTGTGCCCCACTCTATCCATTCTCCTGAGATCTGGGGCAAGCTACTGCCCTGGGAAGCTGTTGGGCAGATGGGCTTGGACTGTCCCTTACTACTTTGCCCCACTGCCACCCAGGTCCTTTTGAAATTTTCTCTGCAAGAGTCCTTCAAAAGTGTGAGTGGCTGTTAATCAGGTTCTCAATGGCTGGGGACTTTGAGACATTGCACTCTCCTCTCTCTCTCTCTCTCTCTCTCTCTCTCTCTCTCTCTCTCTCTCTCTCTCTCTGTGTGTGTGTGTGTGTGTGTGTGTGTGTGTGTGTGCAAGCACATGTGTATGTGCACACATGTTAGCACATATTCTCACAGGAAGGGGCTGCTATGCCACCAGGCTGGTTGATGCAGTCGTGTCGTCCCCCTTCCCCCCCCCCCCCATCACTGGCAGCTGGGAGCTGCCATCCAAGCTCTGTGAAGTCTCTGGAATTCAGGAGTCCCACTGTCAGGCTGCCTGCTGTCCCCAAGGAGGTAGTCTTAATTGGCCTCCTGGGGAGTGGGTGGGAGCTGCTGGAGGTAGGCAAATATTTGCAGATCAGGGTTCTCTTGAATACATAAATGCTCAGATTTGGTCTAACAGCATGGGACAGAAAGGAAGACCTGTTGGGTTCAGACCCTGGAGAGAACTCAGCCATGTTGAACAAGCACCCTGCCTCCCTGTGGGTGCAGTAGCGGTGGGGAGCAAGGAGCCCAGAGCTCCCACTCGAAGTAGCCTCCTGCCTCCTGCCTCCTGCCTCC